CATGTGTGTTTCTTTGAAGAACTATGCAAAACATAACATGGGGAACCAGTAGTGGCAATTGTGGAGGAAGAGACGATATCCATTGCAGCGGAATGATTGAAGAATACGAGGAAAAATGTTTAGGGTTTTGGCCATATCATGCTCCATCAGAACGGCAGAAATGCATGGGCCATATCATGCTCCTACATTCAAATATTCAAGGCCATATCATGCTCCTACATTCATTTGTCAAATCAATTGCTTCTTAAATTGGAGTAAGGTTTATACTTTGAGATGAGAGAGGTGAGGGAGACAAAAGAAACAATAAAACAAATTTGATCTACAGAAATGCATAATGCAAAATGTCTTGGTTTTGCCAAAAGAGAATATTTGTCTGCAGGGTAGTGCATTTTTACCTTAGTGAAAGAACTTTTGCCCTACATATACTGCAATGAAACTCAATTGCGTTGTCAATGTCATTAGCTCCAAAACCCATTAGTTTCCCAAGATTTTGGTGCTTCAATAAATTCCCAATCCATTTCAAATAGATTTGGGGCAAAATATTCAATGATGTGCAGCCACGTTCAAAAAATCCCCACTTTATATGTATACCTTCAAGTTTCTCACCTGAGATGTTAAGAAAGCAGAGGTGACTGTAATAAGACACAAACCTAAATTATTTCAAAAATGAGCTTTCAACAGTGATATTTTCTGTTCTAACATCAAGAAGCTGCAATTGTTTAATGCATTTGCAAGAACTTGAGATCCATTTGGAGAACCCCTCATCTAATCTAACACTACTCAAGCTTAAGTGTTGAAGATTAGTGGAACCAGAAAAGGAGGGCACTTGAAGTCTTGTACACGTTCACCAATAGAGTCCTCAAAGATCCACAAAGAAAGATGCAAGATGGCAATTTCGTCATATCCATATCTGTTTTAAGTATAAGTAACTGAAGATCAAGCACTTAAACATTACACCTTGCTGAAATGCGGATCCATGTGATCACCCAGAACATCTCATCACGGAAGCTTGAACATAGATCCAAATGCATATGAAAGTTATCTTACTCAATGTTTTGAAACGTGAGGCGTTGACACGAGGCGTTTTAGTCGCACTATATGAGGTGTAAGCCTTGAAGTAGTGAGGCGTAAGCCTTTTGAACATTAATTTATTTTAATAAGAAAAATTTATGAATAATACAATACAATTAAATTGTACAACTAATTCTTATTGAATCTTAACAATCTTTTAAATATAATCAAATATAAGTACTAATTGTCATTCAAAGCATAATAATCAATCCCAAAACATAAAATATCACATAAACGAATAAGATAAGTAATATATTGAAAAACAATTATACTGAACTTCAAATTACAGTTGTGAAGAATTAGAGAGACAAATAGAATGGCTTACTTGCAGTCTAAAGATGAAGAGATTTCTTGAAATTGATAGAAATTATCTGATAAGGGTAGAAATTAGGGTTATACTATATATAAGTCCATGTATTAATATATTAATTTAGAAAAGAAAAAAAAAAGGAAGTAGAATAAAGACCGCCAAGAATTAGAAAAGGACAAGAATCTTTGGTCTTTATTTATGAAAGTTCATCTTTACCCAAAAAAAAAGAAGTGCAAGAAAGATATTATCTATATATATATGAAGTAAAAGGTAGAGAATGGTGAAACATTCAAAATACCAAAAAATACCCTTGGTTAATGCAAACAATAAGAATTGAAATTATTAATTAAATGAGGATAATATGGTAAATTCGCACTTTTTCATATTAAAAAAAATTAAAATGAAAAGAAAAATCAGATAATGGATCCTATTTTTATGGAACACAACTACCCATTATCTTTTTAAATTCTAAAATAAATTTAATTTTTTTTTTAAAAAAAAGACTCTTGCAAGCGAGAAAGTGCTGCGAAGAGTCTAGTTAATATTGAAATTGAAAGCCTACAGCTTGCGTGGCTACAACTTGCGTTTTATTAATATTAAAACTGAGAGCTACAGCTTGCGTTTTATATTTTTCAAAACACTCAAGTGAAACGACATAGTTTCATTTAACCCTAAAAACAGAACACGCGAGTCTTCTTCCTCGCAGAGTCATCTTCCTCGCAGCCATTTTGCAGACTCATCTGCGCAATCTCTTCTGGTTCAGAATTGTCCAGATCTGGGGCCGCCTCGCTCCGCCTTGCAACGCCTCCTCACGCCTTGCCCTCGCTAAACGTGCAACTCGCGAAACAGCCGACCGCCTCAGGCGATTCCCTGCCGCCTCGCTTCGACGAGCGCATCGGCGCGCGCAAGGTAATGCCTTTGAAAACACTGATCTTACTATCCCCATGATGAACCAAGAACCTATCGAAAGAATTCAGCATGTTTAATTGCTCCTGCTTGTCTGAATACGATGACCAAAAATCCAATGACGGGGATGAGAGATAAAGCCCTCTGAATCTTTTGGACACGCTGCCTACTTGAATGAGTTTTTTAAAATTGAAAAATGAAAGAATGTGATGAGCAACTTCATCTGGAAGATTACTAAACCTGTCTATTATACCTTCAGGACAAGGTACTTGAGCTTGAGAACTTGCAGTAGCCAATAACTTATGCTTGTGTTTCATGACACTAAGCTTTCTTTTGTTTTGGTCAGAGCACCTTCCACCTGCAAAGATGAAGGACACGAAAACAAAATTATGTAAATAATATGAGTATGACACTAACATAAACAACACTATGAGTCTACTACCATTTCACCACTTTAAATCTCTAATCTGGATATAATTGTGTTTATGTTT